CCCCCTTCGTATGAACCCCACTCCACAGAAGAGCTGGTTAGAGGTGGTTTTCATTACCCAGACACTCCATGAATGGGGTAAATATCAGTATGCAACTATTCCACACATGGATGGTCTGGGTGTGGGCTTAGGGGCTCAAATACATCTAGAAGGGATTGTGAGATAGCTAGGTTTCCCATCCTCAATTGCCAACAGCCAAGATAGAGGTCCCTGCTAAACCACGATTCAGTATGATCTGATTTTGCTTCGTGATTCATTTCTACGTTGTTTGCTGTCAGTTCCTTCCAGATTCCTTAAGTACATAGATTCCTCAAGCAATTTGAGGTCTTCGGTCTTCAAGCGGATCGGGTGTCCAGCATGGTGACCCGAATGTTCAGCATGTGTCCAGCATGGCGACCTGTTTTCCCTCATCCACTCACTGTCCAGTGGATCCAAGCAGCCAGCTGTACCCTTCAGATCCACATTTCCACCACACTGCTGAGGCTTTGCAGCGTCCAAGATAGTGGATTTGTTGGGCATGTGCCCAACAGATCCTACCACATTTCATGCCACATCAAACCTCAAAGGTTGGCAGTGGATGCCTGTCGGTATGCGGCCCAAAACACCAGAAGTGCCGTGGTATTGCTTCTCTCAATTGGGTGCAGGTTTTCTTCCATTCACAGCCAACTGTGTCACGTGGCTTAAACACTGAGGACTGGCGCTGGTGGTGACCCTCCCAAGGGCACCGTGCTCTCGGAGTTGGTGGTGAAGTTCTTCCACGGTGACTTCACACCGCAGGGCTTCAAGCGCTACAGCGGCCTCTGGAGCGGGGTGACGTGTGGGTGGCACTGCGGTTGAAGCACGACTGCGCACACGTTGGGTTGCACTTTAGGTTGTGAGACCTCGTGGGACGCTATAGTTGGAGATATATCATGGGTGTTGGGATGCAGTTGACTAAACTTTTGTTGACCTTTGTAGGTTGCTGTGACTGTGCGTGTTGGATGACAGAGGAAGTCCTAGATGACTGCTGTGGAGCAGCAGAATCTTGCCATTGTGCCATTGCGGTGACAGATTTGGATTTGTAAACTTAGAACGTTGCACCACACCTCTTTCATGGCAGTTTTGAGTCCTTTTCTCAAGGACTTCCCATCAAGCCTTTGATCCAACTACTGACTACCTTCGCAGCCCAAACATCTCCATAGAGGTCTTGCGGATTTTTTGAGCCAAGTGGCTTTGATAGGGTCACTGGAGCAGGACCATAGAATTACCCAAGTGTATGCAAGTGTGATTTTTTTAAAGGAAGACTCATCATGTGTGGAGGTGCCAGTAGATGAAAGACACCATGCAGTTGTTTCAATTGCTCAAACCGTAGGCTTCTAGACAAAAGTCCAGCTACCCACCCAGCACCTTCAAATTCTAGATTCTAGACGTTACCTAGTTTAGGCTTCCCTACACTACAGAATGGGCACCTCTAGGAAGGTCCAGGTATGTGACATTTTTTGTAGTAGCTGACAGGCCTCCAATGGCTAGGCCATTAGAATCCATTAGAGGCTTTTCTCCGTCGCAGGAAGGGCCCTCCTCCAGGGAACATCGGCAAGAAGGACGGGACTTCTGTCAGCGCTGCTCTGAAACGCATCGGAGCGCTGTCAAAACGAGATTTGAAAAGTTCTTTTGACATCTGTTTCTTTTGGGAAGCCGCATGGCTTGGCATGTTCTCGATTGTGCAGATGATGTTCAGGAGTTTCTTATCCGAGTATCGAATGAATTGCTGCCATGTTGGGTTGTCCAAAACCGAATCTGGAATTGGCCAGTTATGGTGTCATCATGTTTGGCTGTTGGGCCAGATTCTGTACACAGGAGCTTGTACGATTCTATGCTCCTAGTATGCGATGCCCTTGTTACTAGTAGCTTCTTGCTCCGTTCGTAGCGTCCGATCGCTCCTAGTAGTAAGGCCAGGAGCCCCGTTCGTAGCTTCTTGTTCCTAGTAGTACGGCCAGGAGCCCCTAGTAGCGTCCTTCCTACTTGTATGGCGAAAGGTCTCCAAATCTTTACGCACTCGATGACTCTCACGCAGGACATCGCGGTGGGCGTGGCGAAGCTCAAGGAGCAGATGAGCAACCCCATGTTCCTGGCCTCAAGAAACCCTACCGACGCCAGACACCCGAAGCAGCAGAATGAACAAGAGGTTAACTTGAACATAGAACACAAAGAGAGTGTTGAGAGCAGAAGCTTTTGTTTCCTATCAGCGTGTGTATACGATTGCAGAACCGGGGGCCCAAGTTTTTGGGATGGTACTGCCTCCGGAGGTGGCGTGACAGGTCTATGATTGAAATGAACAGCAAGAACTGGTCGAGTTGAATGCTGGAATATACCTGGCCAAGCAGGTGCAATAGTTGCTATGAGACTGACCATCATCGACTCTTTGCAACCACCCCACCGATGGTATTCCATCTATCCAAAATAGAACGTAGGGGATATACAACCTCATACCAGCATCGACACCCATAGTCGCCTGTGAGCAGCACAAGGTTCGTGACCAAGGGCGGCGTTGGCTACGGCGTGGATGAGACTCAGAAGGCACGGTGGACGGAGACGCATGCGAAGACATACCAGATGTCAAGACAACAACGCAACAACCGTGTGTTGGACCCCTGGAAGAGCTTTGGAAGAAATGTTTAGTGGTTGTGGGACTCTCCTTGCAGTGGTGAGTAGAACTGCTATGCGTCCGAGCACCCTGATCTTTCAGGTGGAGGACGATGGCAAGGGCTGGGTGTGGCTGGCGGCAGAGATGAGCCCAGGTGGCCTGGCCGTGGAGCTGTTCAAGTCGGTGCCATACGGGACACTTGGATGATGGCACTTCTGCTGAGTGGTGGGGTGGCTGGGTGCTGTGGTGTGGCAAAGGGAAGTTGGAGGTCTGGAAAAGAGGCCTCTGCAAAGATGATGATCATTGTGTGGGTCGAGAGATGTCAAAAGCATCAGTTGCTTCCAACACTCACCATCCACTGTTACCTTCATCATCCCTCATCATACAACGTACAAGAGAACCACTGTCACCAATGTTTGTTTGTTAATCGAATTCCAGCACTCTCTCATCGTCCCGCCGAAACCTCAGAATCTGCAAAAACGAAAAGCACGCGAAGCGCCACGCAGCGATCGATCTGCGCGCGATCGATCTGCGCGCGCTGCCCCTTTCGCGCGCTCATCACCTTGCTAGGAAGCGCGCGATCCTGGTGGCGAAGCAATCCAACGTGGACGAGCTCTTCCAGAAGGCGATCCCACGCAGACGGTGGGACGGACGCAACAACGGATGCAGTCCATGGGCCCTGTGCCCTCCATGTCATGGTCGCTGGATGAGAAGCCTTGATATGTCTGGATAGCTAGTGGTGATTTACCAGCTTGAAGCAGGATCGGGGTTACTAGCCACTACCTGGGTATGGCTCAAACACTGGTAAAAGTTGTAGAAGATGGAAAAAGTGAACGTGGCTCGAAACCTGTGGTTCAAGGCACCTTGTACCTCTGCACAGTCAAGCAGTTTGTGCTTTGTGGTTGTACCACGTGGCTGGAGATTGGTCAATTCCCATGCCTTCTCGTGTCCGGATTCCGGCCTCATCAACGCCCACCACTGCGGCCTGACGGTCCAAGGGCCGCACCCCGCGCGGAGTCGCACGTCCAGCTCGCTCCTGCCGAGCTCCGAGCGTCGCGTGAAGACGTGTCGCGGCGGATCGACAGGTGAATTGGGATACGGCCTTGGGCAACATCGAGAAGACCTTCGGAGGACCCCAGATCAAGCAGCGCTGAGCGGATCAGAGCGGATCACCCGGTAGTGTCAGGACAACATGGACACCAACTGTTTTGGAGTAAGATGAGGGTGGGATGAGAAAAGGATCTTAACATTGTCTTTGGCTGTGGGTGTCCATGTTAGTGGAAGGCCGGGTATCTTTTTTCGTGTAAAAAATTGGGGCGTCAGAGCCTTGTGATGCTGCGTGAGAAAAGGAACACAAAGCTGGTTGTGGGAGTCATCTTTCTGCAGCTCCAGTAAACATCTCATTGGTTCCTTGGCGGCTTTTCCTTAGAAGCTTTGTAGGAACTTATCCTCTTGCTGTTCTGGGACCTGACAACCAAACCCCAAAGGTTCTTGAGCTCGACCTTCAAATCTAGCAACCTCATGGATGCTGACTCCGACGCGCAAAGCCCCTGAGAAACCCCGCTGGAGAGGCGGCAGTGGAAGCCGGCTGCCCAAAGAAGGGGGTCTACCTGGAGGACAGGCATTTTCAGACATGAACAGGTGCAGGGTGGAAGTTGGAAGGTGAGAGCAAAACTGCTTTGAGGGGCCAAGAGTTCCAATGAATGCGGCTGTGGGTATAGTGCAGTGGAATTTCGCATTGAATTGACTTAGATGAAAGGGTCAGTTTAGAGAGGGCTGAGAGAATGACAAAAAAAAAACGTGAACCAGTCAATCTGTGGGGCACTTAAGCAATTAATAGCAATTAAATATAGCTAAAACACTGACAAATCCTGCACCATCCCAGAAACCCTATGTCGACCAGATATTGAATTTTGATTAAGTCCTGCGAACTCTGGCACAGATTCCTTCATCCTTATGACAGTTCATACATCCCTGTGGCTGTGGGTAGGTTGACCTCCCGGTCCCGGTCCGGTCGTCCATTCTCTTCATTGGGAAAAACTGGAGTCCAGTTTTTGACCCACAGCATTACAGTATATACCCAAACGGGCTCTGCTCCATGAACGGCCCATCTCCTCAGGTTCGATGGTATTCGACCCCGGCACCGACCCCAGTCCCACCTTCGAAATGGGAGAAACGGCAGACCCCGGAGCCCTTGGGATCTATGGAGCCCCAGGGTGAACCGGGAGACCGGTCGGTCTTGTGGTGTCTCCCGGTTCCTCCTTCTGCACTCCTAATGGCAACCCATATTATCTATACCTTTCTTCTTTTTCTTTGTTCTTTGTTCCTAACAGCGATGGCCTCCAACCTAAGAGCGATGGCCTCCACCTACTCCACCTACTAGTGATGGCATCCAAGGAAGTTTCTGCAAGGACTTGAGCCTTTGCGAGTTCACCTTCATCGAGGGAGGCGCGAGAAGACTCGGCCGCGATGCGGGCCGCGACCCGGAGCCTCGCTCGCCTTGTAACCGGAGCGTAGCTCTTGTAACCGAAGGATGCCTTGAAGCGATGCGCTCGCTGCAGGATCGAGCCCATCACGGTACTTTTTGGAGACATTTTTGCAGCCAACACTTCTGATCCTCTGACCCAAAGAACAACCATGGATGGCTTCTAGCAGTCTCAGTCTCATCGGCCTCATCGATCTCGGTGGGGCGGTCTGATGGTGCTCGGTTGACCGGTGGACCCAGATGGCTAGAGGACTCTGACTCGATCTGTTCATTTTCGATGGGGTTCACCATGGTTGCGGGGTTGAAGGACCCACACCCGGGTTGCAACAATCATTGCCTTTACAAAATGGTGACCATCAGATGATCAACCACATCAGCTGTTTGAAGTCTACAGCATCAGGTAACAATTGTCACCTGACCTCTGAACGAACGCGACAAAACATGGAAGGCGATATCTGGATCTGACCACACATAGACATTTTCTGCATCCGGGACATTCTCAGCAAGGGAGGCCTGGTGTTTTCTTCTTGAAAAGCCCTTCTCTTCTAGACACTTCATGCGGCTGGAATATAGACTAGCTGAATTGACCTTGCCTGAAACCACCCCAATGAGGGCCCCAATGTATGGAGTGTCAGGGTTTGGACGGCCACCCATTGTGGGAGGCCCTCATTTGGGCGATTGCGCCCTTTGGGCTGCGAGTGCTCTACGACGCTCGGTCAGAGCACGAAGGCCGAGGTCCCCGGTGGCCGAGGTCACAGAAACTCAGACCATCCATGTATGATGTATTATATTTAGACTCTTGATTAATAAACCCTCCCATTTGAATTGGACATGCTTTTCATATGGGGGGTTCATTAATCAAGAGTCAACATTACCTACATTGGGGTGGTTGACCTGGGGTCAATGTATGTAAATATGCCAGTCCCATTGGTCTGGTCTGGGAAAGGTCTTGAAACCATCAAAAGAAGGTGTAAATGTCCTGAGGCCACATCGCGTTCACGCGGTGCTGGTGCTTTTTCGCGGGTCTTTCATGAGGGGGGGCGAAACTGACGAGGTGAAACAGATGAGAAGTGTCACCCATCTTTGACGCAATACAGGCAATACAGAACATGCTCGTTCGCACTATAGCTCAAGTAGCCCGCAAAAGTCCCAAAAGACTGTTCTTGGGAGCTTGTGATGAAACGCTATAGGGTCTCCCGCTGGTGTATTGGATCATGCTTGGATACGTTTTTCATCGTCTTGCTGCAGAGATCTTCAGGGGTTTTACCGTATGAAGCGGTGTATCCCAGACTGTGACATGGAGCACTTCTGTGGTCCACATTTTGGTGTTCTCTGCAGGGATTTGGGGGACCCAAGCCACTTACAGATATAATTGCAGCAAGGTAGGTTGTGGCCACATCGTGGCACTCTCTATAGTTACGTACCGGCACCTTCCAACAGGTCTTCTCTGGTGGCTTTTGCAGACTTAAAAGCTGGCAGTGAAGGTGCTGGTAGAAGTGGTCTGTTTGAGTCTTTACTAATGGTGTGTTTTTTGGGGTGAAAGACTGTGAAACTGGATGAAAATTGAAACCCCTATTGGTGGTGTCCTTGGCAAACATACCTACCCCCCCCCCAGACCATCCAGGAGACTGGAAGAGGAAAACACACATGGACAATCATGGGTGTCCATTTTCTGACCCATCCAAGGTAGCGCAACTATTCCAGCTCCATCGAAGAGTTACATGGTCCATGATGTCTCATGGACAATATGAGAAGTTTACCCCCATCCAATTCTATGGTGGACCTGTTCCATGGTCCACTCTCTTTCGTTTCCGTCGGGCTCCAACTACCTTCCGTTTTGCTGTGGGTGCTGTCTAAGTATCGAAGGATCTGGGCCGCACCAAGAGGTGATCTAAGGCTAGGGGGTCCAGGGTTTCGAGAAATCAAGTCAAACCTTCCAACGAATCTGGCCTTGACCGGATGACTTTCAGACCAGAGCCTTTATACTCTGGGCCTTAACCCGACCGGAGCGGCCTCGGCCCTAACCGGATCGGAGACTCCATAGGCCTCGTGGGCGTGCGCGTGCGGGCCATCGCCTACGAGCCGTTGCCGGATGCGGCCGGGCTCTTCCAGCAGCCGCCCGGCCACGCACGACGCGTACGCGGAGGTCGCGGAGGTCGGAACGAGGTCGGAACGAGGTCGAGAGGTTCGAGATCGAGGAAAAGGTCACCATGAGGCCCATTGAGCCGGGTGAAGTTCGAGGTATTATGACCGGAGGGTTCGAACTTCGGGGGTGCTTTGGAGGAGAATCCCGTGTTTTTTTCCGGAAGGTTCATGCAGTTGTTATGTGTCCCAGACACATTGGACGTAAATAGACATTCACCCCTCAAGCACCCCTGGCCTGGTCTGTCAATATCACTGGGCCAGACAGGTTGTGTCGGGTTTCGGGTAGCGCTTCGCCACTGGCACCTCTCTCCTCAGCTGCTCCCAGTCTCCCTTCTATTATTTAATCGACGGTCGGAGAAACAAACAAGGTGTAAACCTAGCAACACCAAGTGAACGAAGTGATGACATCCTAACTGGAGGAAGTTGGACATCTCTTTCCAAAGACATTGCAAACATCTTTCACTATGATTCCAGCATCCCTCGTCTTTGTTTTAAACCCAAAAGACTAATATAGCATACAATAACTCTTTCCACCCCAGTCGTGCCATCCTCTTCATCCCCTCCACTTCATCCTCTTCTCCATCCCAGGAGCGTCCTGGAGAACGGCTTCGGTGGCGCCGTGGAGGTGAAGATGGCGGCCCTGGGCGCGCAACGGGGCCCCGTGGAGATGATCCACTTCCGGGGACACAACGGACAGGAGCGGATGGACGGACGGAGTGGGGATGGAGTGCATGGGGTGTTTCGCTTGGGAGGAGGCCTTGGTGTGTTTTTGTTTAATGCCTTTGTAGATGCCTCCAAGCTGCTTTTTGGTTCCAGTGCCCCGGTATATCAGATGTAGTAGACTCTGATACATCTATCATCCAAATTCTGGAGTGGCAGATGCGCCACTCCCGCCAGCTCCCAACCATTCCCCAAAACCACGACTGTCCGCATGGTCACCAAGCCGGTCGACGCCAGGCCACCGTGAACGGTCAGGACTTCCCTTCCCATGACCCCAGAGAGGCAGACGGAGTGGGGTGGAGACAGTGGTGGGGTGGATGGGGTTCGGTTCGGAGATCCTGTTGGGTTTGGCTTTGGATCCCAACCCGGGGTCTCCACAGATGGGGGGGGTCTCTATCCTGACTTTACGATGTTTTAAACAAGCCTTTTACTATCGATCCATCATCCACTGTTACTAGATGTTGGTCATGGAATAGACCCGGTCCTTGGGTCCTTGGGTCACCTAATGGGTATCTTATTGAATAGGGAGACTCCCTGGCTCAATGGGTGGGCTGGACTGCAACACCCAACGAGGAAACGGACGAGACGACCCGAGAGACAATATGTTCATACACACCGTACACACACTGTACTTTCAGTCCTTTTGAGGATTCCCGAGTCGAGCCAATCATGACCCTGGTATTCATGACCCTGGTTCAATCATGACCAGTTTGGGAACCGGAAGCGATGCCAATTGAATTCCACATATTCTACCCCAACTGATCGGCACAGATGCGACACTCATGGAGTGCCTGGATGGGGTGATTCTACCAGATGTACAGGATCGCGGGATGGCGTTCCTCCGGTGCGAAAACCGGTGCTGAAAAAAGAAAGCAAAGATAGCAAAGTAGAACGGCTGGAGGCGCCCACCTCGTCAATCAGGGTCGCTTTCTAGTAGGTTGGATGCGATTGCTAGGTTGGAGGCATCACCTCGATTCGTCCCAAGTCACGGGATATCAACCCCAACCTGCATTTTCCTGGCGCCACCTGATGGTCAACCCCCCTGGAGGTGGTCAAGGTGCCGACAGAGGAACTGGCGCTGGACGAGGACTGGAGGGCTTGGCAGCAAGAATCGGATGGGGGATATTCTGGGTTTTGCCCACTCAAACCATTCATGGGACTGGAAGAGTTACATTACATCTAAACCCATGAGTATGACGTAACTATGTATGTAACTCTTTCAGCCCCATTACACCATCGATTTCTTGAAGAAGAAGATGGATCTCCACTTCTGCTGCTAGAAAATCACACGCTCCTTGGATTTCTACCGAAACATGAACATGAACGAAAAAGCACTTCGGATGTGTCAACCGTGTTTTTTGCAGGTATTCAGGATCATTCAGTCATACTGGAACATATAATGTGCGACTAATTTTAATCATTAATCAAGTTTCAATATGATGCAAAGCTTCTAATGTAGACTGATTTAACAAAACCCCCGTAAAGCCATTCTGGTAGGGGGATTCGTCGACATTGCTCAACCAGGTGGTTCAGTTGTGGTGCTCGTTTGTGCCAATGGATGGGAAACCGTACGTGTAGTCGTGTGCATTCTACAGCATGGTGTGGTGTGGTGTGGTGGGGTGTAATGACGTTCATGTTCATACGCACACTAACACGTGACTACATATAGTCACTTTTGCTATGTTCACATGCACACTAAGATGATCTAAGAATCTAAGATGTATGCGGCAGTCATGTTCACTGACGTGCAGCTGTGGTTCACGTGCGCGATTACTGTGTTTTTCCGCTTTTGACATGTTGCTATAGGTGTACGGTGGCGATGTTTTTTCCTTTATTCCCCAAACAGTGTGGACACACACTTAGGGGTTCTTACTTACGGTAATAGAAAAGCAGCTGATGCTTAGATCGCTGAAGCGCGCTGGCGTGACCGGCTAATTCGCTTCTATTTACAGTACATTCATGCCTTTGAAAATCGTCGAAGTGCATTTCGACTGCGCAGGCTCGCGAAATCTGGGTGGCGGCGGCGAGTGGGTGTCGCGACTGCGCTCTCGTTGTGTTGCCGTGCGCATTTTCGCACATGGTGGTCACTTTGCGTGGCAGGTGCAAGGGAAACCTCGCGGTTGTACTTCGAAGTGCAGATTTCGTGGCAGGAGCAGCACTTTGGACATGGTGGTGATCTTCGAGGCGGATCTCGTGACAGGTGCAATGAGTCGTTACTTTTGGACATGTGGCTCGTTTGCAGATTTCGTGGCAGGTGCAGCACTTTGTGAACCTCGACGTGCAGATTTCGTGGCAGTCACAGCACGTTGTGATCCTCGACATGTAGATTTCGTGGCAGGCGCAGCACTTTGTGAACCTCGATGTGCAGAGTTCGTGACAGGCACAGCACTTTGTGAACCTCGAAGTGCAGAGTCCGTGACAGACACAGCACTTTGTGAACCTCGACGTGCAGATTTCCTGGCAGTCACAGCACTTGGTGAACCTCGAAGTGCAGACTTCGTGGCAGGCACAGCACTGGGTGAACCTCGAAGTGCAGATTTCGTTGCAGGCACAGCACTTTGTGTTCGTGTTAGGCACAGCACTTGTTGAACCTCGAAGTGCAGATTTCGTGGCGGGCGCCGTCAGACGCTCACTCACTCCCCCTCACTCTCACTCAGTCACGCACGCTGAGTGAGTGAGTGAGTGAGAGTGAGTGAGTGAGTGAGTGAGAGTGACTGAGTGAGAGTGAGTGAGTGAGAGTGAGTGAGTGAGAGTGAGTGAGT